GCTAGTTTTGCTTAAGAAATGCGGATAACCGGTTATTAAACCCAAGAGGGATTGTGCAAGAAACTAGAAGTCGGTTAAAGAATTATTTCAAGATCAAAGAATGTTCAGGAAAGCAATTAATCATAGGATCTCTAAATTATATTATTTGGTTAAGAGTTAATACCGAAATTATCTAGTTAAGAAATTACAAAAATGCCCTTGAGAGGTAAAATAATCCGAGTTGACCCTGAATGAGAAAGTACTTTGATGATTCGTACTTAACTCTATTAAGTATGGATTTAATTGTTAAGATCTTGTCTTTGTATAGAAAAATTCATGATATTTCGTTTGTTAAATATGAGAAGGCACTTGACCCGAAAATATCCGAGTTTTGAGTAAATACCTGAAGAACAATTTATCGGATGGTGCTCTTTTATCAGAATTGTTCGAAGGGATTGAAATAGATGATAAATTGGTATTAAATAATAAAACAGGATAGAAGGAAATGATTGAAATAAATCGGATCTGTAGAATGACCAGAATACCCCTGTAATGGAAATGACCCAAGAATATCACCAAGCTCAGGAATGATTGGATATCCTCGAGCTATGGAATGAATGGAATAAAACTGAACACCAAAATTACCAAAATAACCTTATGGCCTAAACTAAGTAAATGTCTTGGATTAATTAAGGAATCCAAATAAGCATATGTATTGGACTACCTTTAAAAGTAATTGAACACAATTTAAGTGAGTATGTCAACCTTAAAGCTATGTCAATACCTGAATGGCATAGATATTACTGGAATGTGTGTTCGTCTTCTCAAGTTTGGCTCGATGATAAATTTTGGAAGTATTTAGCTCAGCTCAACTCTAGATCGCATTCAGTACTAATAATTGGACGTTTGTTCGACAAATCAACCACGAAGACCAAATTGAATGGAACAGAAATACAACATATATCTTAAATCCAGTAACGTTTGAATTACTCTAGAAAAATCCCGAAGTAACTGGAATAGACTTGAATGCTAAACGAACTAAGTAACCTCAAAGACTAAGGTGAGTATGTCAACCTTAAAGCTATGTCAATACCTGAATGGCATAGATATTACTGGAATTGTGTTCGTCTTCTCAAGTTTGCTCGATGATAAATTTTGGAAGTATTTAGCTCAGCTCAACTCTAATCGCATTCAGTACTAATTGGACGTTTGTTCGACAAATCAACCACGAAGACCAAATTGAATGGAACAAATACAACATATATCTTAAATCCAGTAACGTTTGAATTACTCTAGAAAAATCCCGAAGTAACTGGAATAGACTTGAATGCTAAACGAACTAAGTAACCTCAAAGACTAAGGATTAAGTAAGTGATTTGGATGAGTCTGGAAATGTTAATGAACATACATGATGTAATGTTCTTATGGGTCTTGAACTACAATCAAGCACGTCAGCATTTCATGATATAGTGGAAGCGTGAACATGAAATAAAGACATTGGAAGATTTATTCAGCGATGATTCCGAAGATTATATTGGGACTAGAATTTGTGGTATTAAAGTGTAAATACCCTGTAAGAAAAATGAATTGACCAGTCGATAAGCATTAATTCTGGGAGATATTCATCTGAAGTTGTGTGATAATGAAATCAATCGACATAGACTGTAAATGTCCTGAATCTTCATTTCTTCCTTATCAGCCCAAGTCATATTCTGAATAACTGATGATTTCGTTAGTTATTGAACTATTCCTATAGTGATTCTAAATTTCGATATCTTATCGGTATACTGAAGATTCATGTTTCTCTACCTGCTAAGATTATCCAGTACTTCTGAATAATTTCTATAAACTCTGGTGTGTTCCCTAATCACCTGGATATTTTACCTGATTTCCGATTTGATTTCTATTATAATACTTGACCTGGATTCTGATTGGATACTTGACCTGGATTCTGATCGAATACTTGACCTGGATTTTGATCTGATACTTGACCTGGATTATGTTTTGATTTTTGATATATCCGTTTACGAACGAACCATGATTTAATTGGGGGGTAATGTTGGAGGAAGTATACCTGGAGGCCCCTCGGCTGTGTGCTCAGGGCCTTACTTACTGGCTCCTCGACTGTGTGCTCAGGGCATTACTGGACTTAACGGTGGGTGTATGGTTCTGGGGAACCTACACATTTTGGACTTGACGGATGAGGGTATATATATATATATGTTTTAAAAAGATCTGAAAAGTTACATAATTTTTGGGAACACAGTAGAAAACCTATTCTGATCTCCTAATCCTAAACATCCCAAATATTTTCCATCAGAACTAAATATTATCTGTTAATACCTGAAATATCAATGGGACCTCAGCTCAGCCAAAGAAATCTGTAGATATCTGAACCAATAATGAATATGTTTATCTGTATCTGCACATTCTTCAGTATCATATGGTAGTTCTGTATTATTGAGCTTTTCGAAGCTCATTCTATTACTCACCATTTCAGGTTAAAAGATTGTACCAGTACAGCTATCAAAATCACTAAGATAGTTCTTCCGGCGTTGCTTGCAGAGTATGGTACATGTGATAAGGGGGACATGTAATTGTATTTTGTTTACATGTTTACATGTTTTGATGAGTTTATGAGTTTGAGTTTACATGTTTTGATAAAAAAATTTAAAATTTCAGCTATTTGTATAGTGGGTTACTCCGGTGGTCCAAATGTGTCTCCCCGGATTGAATCTGGTTACCCTCATTGGTCTGAGGAGGTTACATCTTTTGTACATAATGAACACAAATAAAATTTCAGAATAAACTTTTTCAATAAAACATATAATTAACCAAAAAAAAAATTAATTCAAGACAGATATATATATATATTATATATATATATATATATATATATATATATATATATATATATATATAATATATATATCTATATATATATATACCTTAAATATATTATAGATCCGCCACTACCTTAGTCGAAACTCTTTCTAATTTCAACGTCCAAAGAAAGTTCCTCATCTTTTGAGGCACTTTCATCCTCCATATGAGATCAAAATCAACCACGTGGGATGTCACCGTACTTGGTGTTTATCTCTCTCCTCAAAGTGCTGTTTTACAGTAATATATATATATATATATATATATTTAGGGTAAATTTTATCGTTTTTCACTTAACTATATTTTTTTTCCATATTTTGCTCACTATACTTTTAATTTTTCTAATTTCTCACTGAACTTTGAATTGCTCATGTTTTGATCACTCTGAATTATTTTATTATTATTTTTATCTGACGTGACATATTTTTTATTATTTAATTTAAAATAATTGAAAATATAAAATAAATATAGAAGGTGATCGGACGCCACTACCGACCACCGTCAATCGATGTAGATGGTGGTCGTTTGGTCTCAAATTTCATGGGTCTTGTTCATCTCGACACCTTGAGTCCAAATCCACTCTCCATTTTGTCGGAACTTGCTCCGAAGTTCACGAATTAAAGATAAAAAAACGAGGAAACCGAAATGTTTCAATTGATATTCATGGGTTTTGAGACATTTTATGGTAAAACAACCCCTAGATTTGGACTCAGGGGGTCGAAAAGCATAAGACCCATGCAATTTGGGATCAAACAGCCACCATCTACGACGGTTGACGGTAGCGTATGATCATCTTCTATTTTTATTTTATATTTTCAATTATTTTAAATGAAATAATAAAATAATGCCATATCATACAAAAATCAATAATAAAACAATCCAGAGTAATTAAAATAGGAGTAATTCGAAAATTCAGTGAGTAAATTAGAAAAATTTAAAATACGGAATACGAGAGTGAGTATAATTCAGTGAGGAACTTTGTATTTTGCCCTTTTGTCATGAAATTTTTTAAATAAATATTATTTATATTCAACGCATACTATTTTAAAAACCCTTACACTATTTTTTACATTTAATCAAATAGTTAATAATCGTAAAGTTATTAAAAAGTAGAGACAAATACAAAATTTATACTAAATAAATGAATTTGTAAAATTTTAAAGGATAAAAATAAATTATTAATAAAAAATAAAAAAATATTTAAATTATATAAAAATTTAAATTTTTTAAAAGAGCAATTACCTTATTGATCCTCTCAGTTCAAGAATTTTTTTCTTCTAGGCAATTGCTCCTAGATTTTTATGAGAGTATTTGTGAATAGTTAAAATTATTTGCTTACAGAAAAAAATAAAAAAATCAATATTATTAGGAATAATTATTTTTATTTTATTTAGAATTATAATCGAAAATATTATAAATTTATATATAACCGTTTAAGTCGGAAAGATTACATTTTCATTATCATCATAAAGAAATGTTGCAGCATTTGAAGACAAAACACTACCTTCCAAATCTACGGATATTAAAAAAATTAAATTTAACACCTAATAAAATATTGGCAGAAGAATACAATTTAGAGTAAAAACTGGCTCTGCCACTACCACCCTTTTCCTCTGAATCATTCAATCGGTGGATCAGCTCCTCCTTTGGACTTATTTCACAGCCTTAACCTCTACCTCTCAAGTAAATCCAACAACTTCATCTGCAACAAGCTCATTGCTGTTGTATGTCACCTCTTACGGTTAAGAGCAAATGTAAAATTTTATGTTAGAAGAAATAAATTAAAAAGATTTAATCAAAATGAATCATTATGTGATTTCTTTCTTAGTATTTAATCAAATGGAATCATCATCAGTCAACCACCTCGATCCATCCCTATTTACAGCTTCGAATCAACACATTTGCAATAAAAAACGAATTATCTTGTGGTATCTCTTCACTTGGGTTTTGTGAATCCATGTTATGGTTGGCAAATATGGAGAAAGATCATGTATGTTCCATTGTTAACCAGATTAGATATGAAGCATAATATGTGCCTACTTTGCAATGAAAGAAGTTGCTTGAAATTATCAAGTACCCTAACTTTCTTTTTACATGAACATAGGCAATTCTATTGGTAGCATTTCCATACGATCAATGAAGGTACAAAAAAATTTAGTTGATGGGAGCATTTCTTGTCTTGTACTTCATTTCATCACTAAAAATGCTTGCCACTAACTTTGCCTTTTGACATGTCAATGTCTGGTTTTTTTCTTACAAGACAGTGGGTTCAGTGGCTTCCCTGTTGAACCCATCTTGAGAATGCTTGAAGAGTGTTCATGTCGGCTCTGTAGTGCTTTTGTGTGAATTCAAGCAGCATAGGCCATGTAAAATCTGGGTATATTCTTGGGGTACATGCGTCCACCAGCTCTGCTGGTGGGGTAACCACTTGACCACCCTTTGGACACAAGAAGAAAGCAAGTGATTTTCTTGTGGTGTGGCTGTTGACAACCGCCCGGTGCAAGCAACTTTTGTATCTTCCATTTGACAAAGCCTGAACAAGGACTTAATCATCAGACCAAAGCATTTTTACAGTTCAAAGATGTTATGGATTAAATGAATAGAGTATGTTACCATGAAGGTGTCTCCGATGTTAACGACAAACGCTTCTAAATTTGGGGTAATCGAACGCCATTGGTCGTCGACGAACACTTGAAGACCACCAACTCGGTCTTGGTGAAGGATGGTTAAAGAGGTTGGATCACAATGAGGCCCTGTCCCTAAAGTGAGGTCTGGTTTTTGGCAAGGCGGATAGTAATTCAATCTCATTATCGATTCATTTTCTTCGAAAAATTCCCTGAAATGTGCTCTGTCTACGCCTAGATTGATGGCTAAAAGCTCCATGATCCCTAGGGAAAGATTGCTCATGGCCTCGCAGTACTTCTGGTAAACATTCCTGCACACAATTTGAACTCAAGAATTCAGCATCACACCAGCAAAAACACAAACAAAAAAGGGTAAGTTTTGTTTTAAATGTTGACACTTGACAATTGACATTAGAATTTGTTACCCGAAATGCCTGAATTCATCTCCCATTTGATTAACAATGTAGTCTTCAACCATCATTGATGCGTTTCGATGAGCCGAGTAGTGAAAAGAGAGTGTTTCCTTCCATGGCAGCTTGGAGGAGAATCTACCAGTGAAGCTACTAGCATATCCACAGAGCTCACCAATTTTCCTCTGACCCCTTTGCTTTTCTCCCAATGGTAATTCAAAGAAGTCATCCATGTACCTATGAGCATCAGCCAAGAGTGTTGCATCCACTCCATGATTAACCACAAGAAAGAAACCATGCTGCATACATGCCTCCCCAACAAGCCTTAAAGCTTCTGAAGCAGCAACAAGGTCACCGGACAGGAAGCCTCCGAGGTCGATGAGCGGTACATGGAGTTCCGGTGCATTAGCACAAGGCTTCTCGTCGTCCGGCCATATAAATTGTCTCGGTATGTGGGATTGGTGGTTAAGCACAGAGGCATCAAACACCAGTTGTTTTTGCTCATCTTTAGTCTCATCTTTGGGATGGTGGTGAGGCATGGAGGGTATGCTGGAGATGCAGTCAATTGCCATTGCATGAAGAGTATGATATATTTTGATGCCTAAGATATATATATATATAATTGAGTGATTGTAAGAGTAGTTATTGGAAAAGAAGAGGAGGGAGTGACATAAATTTCAGAGGTTTGATGAAAGAAACGCCAAAAGCTGCTCTCATAGGGGAAATCAGTGCACAAAAATTGGAATCTTATAGCACCTTTCTTCCCCCTCCCCTATATATATATATATAGCCCTAAATCCAACTTTTTTTTTCTCTAAAGAAAATCCAATTATTGAGGTTCTAATCTATTCAAAAATCGAATTAAATTATAATATATGATCGATTTATAATTTATAAGTTTATATAATTATAATTATTTTTTATTAATATGTGATGAGTACAAAATAATATATATATTTAAAGATTTAATCAATTGACATTGAATTAATAAAAAAATAATTAAGACTATTTTTATTGAATTTGATTCAAATTTTTATTTATAATTAATTTTAGTTTTAATTTTTATAATTTTCACAATTTTTAATAATTTATTATTTTAAAATATTTTTTATTATTTTTACGCAAAAATATTACATTAATATTTATGAAAAACATAAAATAATTGATGACAACTTAACGGTATATTATTTTTCAGTTAACTGATATAATTTGACAAAAGATATTAAAAGTTTGAGATAAAAAATAAAATAATATTTTTTAAAAGATTGAAGGACAAAAAAATACCATTAGGCCCAGTGACGGATATAAGTTTTGCCTAGGATGGGTACGTGTCCATCCTGAAATTTAAATTTATTTATATTAATAATTAATTTTACTGAAAAAGTTCACCTTAAAATTTTATTTGTACTTATCCATATGAATATTTTATATTATTAATATGCATACGCCCACCTTGAAAAATATTCCTAAATACGACATTGATTAGGCCTACTCTATTGAGTTTCTTCCCAAATTAGAATGAAACAAAAGTTAGAATCAAACAAATTTTAATATTCTTTTAGTATTAAAAATAAGTAAGGTTTAACACCTATTATCCTATAGAAATTGGAAACACTAGAATTGATGCAACTTATTGTTTTTTCTATTTATCTAAGATGAATATAAAATAATATTTATTTTAAAAATAATTTATTATTTTAAATGTTAAAATAGTGATTTAAATTTTTTAATTTATTTTTATTTGATAAATTCAAATTTATATATCATATAAAAATTTAATTACTTGTCCATATACATGCCATTTTTATCATTATATAACAAATGAAATTTAAATCCGAAATCTTAAATTTATATGGCAAATGAATTTAGTGGAATGATAATGTTATTAGAGAAAACTTTATAGTTTTACCCGTTAAAAAATCTATGAGTTTAGTAATGGAATGACACTTTTATCAATTTGAGATTAGAGAGGTAAATCAGAATGATACTTATAAAATTTTAAGAGGGAAGGGGTTATAAAATTTTAGAAGAATGAAAATAAATTATTAATAAAAATAAAAAAAATCTAAATTAAATGAGAATTTAAAAATTCTAGGTACGATCATCTCCATTAGTTCATTTGATCCATCTCTGATTATGCTTCCACCACATATTTTGTACAAAATCTTATGTGATTCTTATGCACTAGTGGTAGTACCTATAATGAGATTGCAATAATTGTTTTATATTTTAAGTAGCTAAGCACATGATGTATTAATGGAGAAGGTTTAATCAATGTTTGAGAAGGCAAGGTACGTGGCGAAAGTGAGGGTTAAGAGAAAATAAAAGAGATGGTGTGGGGAAGGAGGAGTAAGCACTTCGTCGTGTTCCCCCACGATATCAACATCACACCATGCAGCCAACACAAAAGACAAAGCAAATAAGATTTTGATTAACCCTAATGTGTTGTAACAATGGAATAGGATCTTATGTAAAAATTATCACTTAATTATTGAAAAACAAACCAAGTTTTCCCAACTCGATTTCATCATGCTTTCTCTTATCGTTACGTGCCTTTTTAACAAGCTCTTCATTGTATATAATATTTAAAAAAAACAGCCTTAATTAAGACAGCTTTGAGTGAGCTAATCTTGTAAGTGATGTTGGGTAATTAAATATCAGTGTGATTCTTGTCGTGTTCCATGAAAATAACACAAGATGAGAAGCCCTAGAGCTTGCAGATTTAGCTACCAAAAAGATAAACTTGTTTACTACTAACTATATTTCAATATTTGTATATTAAACTAATGGATGAGGTGATAGCATTTCAACTTTAGCTTTGTTCATTTCCCATTTGTTTATGATTTTTTTTACTTGATTTATCTTTTTATTTTTTTTACAACCGTTTACCAATAAACAATTAATCTTTGAGTAAGATTCGACTCAAATTCTAATAAAAAATTAAGTTGATTTTTATTATAATTTTACGGGTTGAATATTAGTTGGTGATTAAGTTTATTTAATAAAAATTCTTATTGAATAAAAGATTATTGGTGACCAAATATTCGATTCTATAATTAGAGAATATGTCTTACCCTTTAAAATTATTTTGGAGATATATAATCTTTTTATAATCTTTACCTTATAGAGTTTTGTCTTAGCCAAATATATCTACCATGATTGTGAGGTATTATTCATGTGGGACTTAACACCTTCAATTAGTCCAGAATGAATACGTTTCCATTCCGAAATTTAAATTTTCTTTAGTTAGTTATTTATTTTATTGATTATGTCCACCTTAAAATTTTACTTGTGCTAACCTCATATAAAAATTTTGTATTAGTAATACATACGTGTCCACTCTAAAAAATATTTCTAAATCAATCATCGACGTTCAGGACAGAGCAAATATTTTAGATGGCAATGTGAATGGCAAAATATGAAGTGGTGGTGTAGGATATATTCGATGGATATTGAGGAGAATGAGAGGACAAGGTTTAGGGTATCCTTGGAAGAGAGTTGTTGGGTGGAGGTATTATTGAGAGTTGCGTTAAGGTGCTGACAGAAGAAACAACAAAGGGTACCACGTGATGCGGGCCTTTTGGAAGGGAGTATGGGAATGGGACTGTCATTGTCCTTACTTGCGGCGCTTCTATGTATGTCATTAACTTACAATTCGGTTGGTCACAAAAATTCCCTGCTATCACTCAACCCGATATCTACTATCAGTGTATTAAATATAGCTTTTTAATCAAATAATAAATTTTTCGAATTTTAGTTCAGGTGATATCATTGATAAAAGGTTGCTGCAAAACATATGGTTAATAATCATAATAAAAAGAAATCATAGTAAATAGAGAAAAATTTACTATAGACATTGGATATACATTCCTGATGCATATATGATTTGGGTCTTATTGAAAGTATCATTGTTAGTAGATTAGAGATGTGAATTACCAAGCCTTCGTGACGTCGGGCTACATCATGATATCTATTTGTGTGTTGTGGATTGTGATGCATGATGATTGCTCATTGACTATATTCTTTATGGACATCGATACTGTGTATGTAAATTATTAGTACTAGATGACTGGTATTTATATTCTTCGAATAATTCAAAACATTGGATCTTAATTTGATATTGGTATCATTATTTGGATATTGAAACATATACTTTTAGATAGTATCAATATTTGGGTTTCATAAGCCCTAAACAATACTAAGTATAAATAGCAACGAGACAATATAGATAACCATATCCAGAATCGATATCAAAATGATATATTATAATCCATCTTTAACTTATGGTATCGTTACTCTTACAATTGATATTGATACCGTTTGTATAATATCCGAACAAAATGCACCAAGTGGCCATTTTTAGCCTTAAAACATGTTCAAAATCCATTCAAACTTCACTTAAATCATATGCAACATATATCATATTCAATGCCACTTCAAACATGCATCAAACCATCAATTTCATTATGAAATCATCAATGTTTATAAGACATCAAAAGTATACTAATCACATGAATATCAATTAACATTTCATCAATAACTATGCATGATCTCATGTCAAACTCGCCTTGTTCATCATGAAATTATGAATAGATGGCATTCTTAGCCTTTGAGAAACATAACATACCCAAGTTTCAAAGGTAACAATACACAAGATCATACTTAATATGGTGTACACAAAACAATCAAACCAAATCAAACATGGTGTTGAAAGTCAAGCAATGCACCAAATTAAAAGTTCAAAGTTTGGCAACCAACTTTGAAAAAATGATTTTCAAAGTTTGGTAAATGTTTATCTGAAAAAGGTTTTCAAAGTTTGGTAAATATTTCTATGAAAAATGGGTTTTCAAAGTTTGGTAGATGTTTGTTGAAATATTGTAATGGGATAATCATAATTAGTCACTAGACTTTAGGGTATTTACAAGATTAAGTCCTTAAGCTTCAACTATAAATACCCTAGCTCATTTAGCTTCAAAACCATCCCAAAATCCTAAATCATTTCTTTCTCCCAATATTAGAGAGTTTCTTGTGATTAGTGAGTGTTTTGTAAACACCTGTAAATTTTCTCTCTTAGTAAAAGATCTGCAGCAGTCCGGAGACGTAAGCACAATTGGCTGAACTCCGTTATCAATTTTCGGGTATTATTTTTCCGCTTTTATTTTGCATTCTTACTAATTTGGTTATAGGGAAATTACTTGTTTACTCGTTTATTTCCCAACAACTGGTATCAGAGCTTTTGTTTGTAAATTTTGTCAATTTTTGTAAGGTTACTATTCATTACTATTTACGTGAATAGTGAATTTTGTGAATAGTAAAAATTTTGTCGGCGATACGAATTTGTCGATGGAGGTTGTTCTAATACACGGTGGTTCGCAAGAATTGTCAGAAACGATCCAAACGAAGCTAGATTCGAGTGGGAGCGATGGCTGCGGATGAAGGGAATGTGAAAATTGAAAAGTTCGATTGTGCAGACTTTAGCTTTTGGAAGATGCAGATTGAAGATTTTCTCTACCAGAAAAATCTATAACAACCTCTCTCAAGAAAGCAACCAGAAGGCATGAAGAATGAAGACTGGGCTCTTCTCGACAGACAAACCCTCGGAGTTATCCGATTGACGTTGTCCCGCAATGTTGCTTTCAAC